TATTGTGTGTGTGTCTGTGTATCTGGTATTGTGTGTCTGTGTATCTGGTATTGTGTGTGTGTCTGTGTATCTGGTATTGTGTGTGTCTGTGTGTCTGGTATTGTGTGTGTCTGTGTGTCTGGTATTGTGTGTGTGTCTGTGTATCTGGTATTGTGTGTCTGTGTATCTGGTATTGTGTGTGTGTCTGTGTATCTGGTATTGTGTGTCTGTGTATCTGGTATTGTGTGTGTGTGTCTGTGTATCTGGTATTGTGTGTGTCTGTGTATGTGTATCTGGTATTGTGTGTGTATCTGGTATTGTGTGTCTGTGTATCTGGTATTGTGTGTGTATCTGGTATTGTGTATCTGGTATCTGTGTATCTGGTATTGTGTGTCTGTGTATCTGGTATTGTGTGTGTATCTGGTATTGTGTGTCTGTGTATCTGGTATTGTGTGTGTATCTGGTATCGTGTATCTGGTATCTGTGTATCTGGTATTGTGTGTGTCTGTGTATCTGGTATTGTGTGTGTCTGTGTATCTGGTATTGTGTGTGTGTCTGTGTATCTGGGATTGTGTGTGTCTGTGTGTCTGGTATTGTGTGTGTCTGTGTGTCTGGTATTGTGTGTGTGTCTGTGTATCTGGTATTGTGTGTCTGTGTATCTGGTATTGTGTGTGTGTCTGTGTATCTGGTATTGTGTGTCTGTGTATCTGGTATTGTGTGTGTGTCTGTGTATCTGGTATTGTGTGTGTCTGTGTATCTGGTATTGTGTGTGTATCTGGTATTGTGTGTCTGTGTATCTGGTATTGTGTGTGTATCTGGTATTGTGTATCTGGTATCTGTGTATCTGGTATTGTGTGTCTGTGTATCTGGTATTGTGTGTGTATCTGGTATTGTGTGTCTGTGTATCTGGTATTGTGTGTGTATCTGGTATCGTGTATCTGGTATCTGTGTATCTGGTATTGTGTGTGTCTGTGTATCTGGTATTGTGTGTGTCTGTGTATCTGGTATTGTGTGTGTCTGTGTATCTGGTATTGTGTGTGTATCTGGTATTGTGTGTCTGTGTATCTGGTATTGTGTGTGTGTCTGTGTATCTGGTATTGTGTGTCTGTGTATCTGGTATTGTGTGTGTGTGTCTGTGTATCTGGTATTGTGTGTGTCTGTGTATCTGGTATTGTGTGTGTATCTGGTATTGTGTTTTTGTGGATCTGGTATTGTGTTTTTGTGTATCTGGTATTGTGTCTGTGGATCTGGTATTGTGTGTGTCTGTGTTTCTGGTATTATGTGTCTGCGTATCTGATATTGTGTGTTTCTGGTATTGTGTGTGTGCATCTGGTATTGTGTGTGTATATGGTATTGTGTGTGTTTATATATATGGTATTGTGTGCGTGTGTGTCTGGTATTGTGTGTGTATATATATATGGTATTGTGTGCGTGTGTGTCTGGTATTGTGTGTGTCCCTAGGTAGTGTTTCTGGTATTGTGTGTAGCTCAGTACATTGTAGCGTGCGTGTATTTGTGTGCTGTGATGTGTGTGCCACTGTGTAGCTTTCGTGTTGTATTATGTAACGTGTATGTGTGTGTGTGGGCTACCGTCAATGCAGCGTATGCGTCTGTATGTGTTGTATTGTGTGTACGTGTGTCACTGTCTACGTACAGCTACTATGATTGTCTGTGTATCCTGTATTGTGTGTCGCAATCTAGCCTAAGTTGCATTGTATACGTTGTGCCGCTGCCTATGTGGCTTATGTTGTTGTGTGTCACTATCCTCTGCGCTACGCCTTACGCACGGCTATCGCAGGCGCCCGTAGCTTCACGCATCGCACCGCAATATGCGCGGCCACCTCTCCGATATACACAACGACGCGCAGCCTGTGCCCCGGCACAGCCGACGACTCGCAGCCTTCTTCCTCGCTATTGCTCGCTGTGCTCCTGCCGTGCCGTGCCGACTGTCCGCACGCAGCATATCCTGTGCGATGCTGTCTCTCCGTGCGGCGAATATATTCATGAATGTACGTACGCTCGGACGACATCGATCCCATAGGGGTGGCAGCGTGCCCTGTCTTCAAATGAAAATAACAGCAATGACGACGACGACGACGTGATGATGATGACGACGACGTGATGATGATGACGACGACGACGAGGATTATGTCGATGATGATGATAGGCTGAGATGGATCGACTAAAATCGCGGCCATTGAAGGAAACAGCTCCGCGTTTTCGGCTCCTCTGCTCCCCTCCCTCTTCCCGACGGCGACGACTGCGAGACGCGACCGATTTCCTCTCCGATCCTCGAGGTTCATTGCCCACGTGTGTGTGTGCGTGGGGTGTGTGTGTGTGTGCGTGGTGTGTGTGTGTGTGCGTGGGGTGTGTGTGTGTGTGTGCGTGGGGTGTGTGTGGTGTGTGTGCGTGGTGTGTGTGTGTGTGCGCGTGTATGGCATCGCGCGCGTGTGTACACGTCTGCACACACCACGCAACGCACGCGCGCGCTCGGCGCGTGCGTTGTGTGCCGCGCGATGCTCTGCGCTGGCAGGCGTCGGCGGGCAGGAGGCAGATCGTGTGACGTTTATTCCAACGGTACGGCTGGAGCCAATCACAGCTCCGCCCTGACACCACCACCCCAACTCCACCCACCCACTAACCCCGAGATGAAAAATCAATGTCTTCACTTTTGTGGTGCGCGCGCGTGTGTATGTTTCGTGTGAGCGCTGATTGCCTGCCTACCTGTCATCCATTCGCCAGCAGTACCCTTCACGAACAATGCCCGCCCCTGTACGCATGCGTTGCGTGGTCGCGTTTGTGCGTGCGTGCGTGCGTACGCTAGTCCGCAAGGATGTATTTGTGTGCTTGTCCGTGCCTATGCGCGCGCGTGTGTGTGTCTACGTGTGCACGGATGAATCGAATAGAGAACGCGGATGAATGCAGACGGGTAGAGAGAGAGAGCTTCGATGGCCTAAGAGGCTAACGAATCATAGTGCGGTTTATTTCATTTTTCTTACGAATGAATGAACGAATGGATGAAACAAAAAAATTAAAACGTGAAACTGAACTTACGGAGAGCGCTAGCTATGGTTACGGTCGCTACCAACAACAAACCGATGAAAGAGAGAGAGAGATTTGGGGGAGGGGGGCAGAGGAGGGAGAATAAAATACAAAAACAATAGATTTTCGGCGAAAATAACTCTCTCGGTCAGACGCGGCGAGAGAGAGCCACGCTCCCCGCTTTATAAAGGCGCGCGGGGAGAGCCGAGCGGAGGCGCGGGGAAGGAGGCGGCGAGTGATGAGGAGGAGGAGTGGGTGGCCGATGGAGGAGAGGGGGTGGGGTGGTGGGAGTGATGGCGAGGAGGAGAAGGCGATGGTGGGGGCTGTGGGTTGATGGATGTGGAGGTAGCGATGGGGGGTGGAGGTTGGTTAGTTCTGTGGGGGTGGGGGTGGCTGTGGTTGGAGTGGAGGAGGGGGGACTGCTCGGCTCCCCGCAATGGAAATGCTAATGAGGTGTTCGGCACTGGCCGAGTTCACCGCGGGAATCAAGTTCATTGTCACGCAGAGCAGACGACACCGGGCGCAGTGGGGGCGGGAGGGAGGGGCGAGGGGCGGAGTGGTCGACGGAGAGAAGAGATGAGGGGGGGTTAGGGGTGGGGGCAGTCGGAGGAGGGTGGAGAGAGAGGGGGGGGGGGTGGACGGGGGAGGGGTTGAGCAGCCTGGATTTGGACGAGGCGAGAAGGGGAGAGTGGAGGGAGGGAGCGAGCGAGGGAAGGAGGGAGGGGAGAAAGCTGAATTGGTTATGAGCGCGCACTGCGAGAGGGATCGGCTGGGACCCAGCGAATATGCAGCCCGCTCGCCTTTCATGGCACTGCCCGTCCATCTATTCGTCCGTGTGATCAGTCCGTCTCTCTGTCGTCTCTCTGTCCGAGTCTGTCTGCGGTTACCCTGCGTGTCTCCCTCTCTCTGTGCGTAACGCACAAAGCCTCCTCCTCCTGCTCAGCCGCTTTCGCTCCGGGGGTTTATTTATTTTTAGCGATTCAAAGAAAGCGTCTTGCCTGTGATCTACATCACGATACGACGTGCCAACATGCAGATGTGTGGGGTCGTTGCGCCTGTCCGTGTGTGTACTCGCGTGTGTGTACGCGTGTGTGTGTACTCGTGTGTGTGTGTACGTGTGTGTGTACGCGTGTGTGTGTACTCGTGTGTGTACGCGTGTGTGTGTACGCGTGTGTGTACTCGTGTGTGTGTGTGTACACGTGTGTGTGTACACGTGTGTGTACACGTGTGTGTGTGTACGCGTGTGTGTGTGTACGCGTGTGTGTGTGTACGCGTGTGTGTGTACACGTGTGTGTACACATGTGTGTGTGTGTACGCGTGTGTGTGTGTACGCGTGTGTGTGTGTACGCGTGTGTGTGTGTACGCGTGTGTGTGTACGCGTGTGTGTGTGTACACGTGTGTGTGTACGCGTGTGTGTGTACACGTGTGTGTGTACACGTGTGTGTGTCTACTCACGTGCGCGGACCGCAGAGGCTCGCCGGGACTTCGTCTTCTTCTTCTGCTTCCCTTGAGCTGCGCGAGCGACGCGCGCGATGGCGAGCCCACGCGTGACCACCACCGCGATATCAGCGGCGACGCAACACAAAAAAGGAAGGATCAGAAGAAGGGAAAAAAACCCGGAATGAGCACAAAAGTAAAAAACAAGTCGAGCGTTGTTGTTGTTGTTGTTGGTGGTGGTTGTTGTTGTTGTTGTGTCGGAGCCCGCGTCTCCCACCACCACGAGGCCCGTCTCTCACTCTCTCACTCTCTCCCCGTGTGCGTCTCGCTGGGATTACATCTGCTTGAATGACGCCGAAAGGGCAGAGCACAGGGAGGGTATTTTTTTCCCAGCGCTCACCACCCCCCACGCCCCCCGCCACGATCTCCCCTCCTCCCTGTCTCACTCCGAGCACCCCCCTCCCCGACTGCCCCCACCACTTTCCCTACCCCTACAACCACTGCCACCCCCGCCACCACCAAACCCACCGTCCAGCCAAGCCGCCCATGTCGCTCCCTCCTCAACCTCCCCCCTCCTCCTCCTCCTCTCTTCCTTCTCACAAGGAGAACCTTGTCCGGCCAGAGTGGGCCCAGAGCCAAGTCCACACGACCCCCCCCCCACCTCAACCCCTCGCAAACCCCCACCACCACGACCACTGCAATCCCAACCCAGCACCACCACAGCCACCAACCACCGTCACAGCGTACGCGCCCAGCTCCCACTGCCACCCTCCCCTCTCTTTCTTGAGCGGCATTATAAAAAAAAACGTGGCTTGAAACCAAATAACATCGCCCCGCTTTTGTTTGCGCAATTGAGGCCATTGTGGGTCCCGTCGAGGCACATTTTGGGCACCGCGCCTGGGGAAGCCGCTTCGGTGTCGCGGGGCACAAACCGCTCCGGAGCGGAGCGAGCGGAGACATCGCGGTGACGGGGTTCGAGAGTCTGGCGGGAGAGAGTACTCGGAGAGAGCTAGGAGAGTACCAAGGGGAGAGACAGACAGATAGTTGATAGAGAGAGAGGAAAGTTGGGGGTGGGGGGGGAGAGGGGCGGTAGCGCTCCCAGTTCGCCGCTGTTCGCGCATTGAGGCGTCTCTTCATCTCTCGGTGAGAGTCAAATAGCGGCGAATGTCAGGCTAACGAGACGACTGTCTGAGTTATAGTTGCTGTTGTTGGATTATCTAGAATGCACGGTCGACTTATTCGCATAGACACGCCACCCGCCATTTTACAAACGGCGTTATTGTTTTTGCTTTGGGTGAGTGTGGTTGAGGTGGTAAATAACAATCACATCAAAGACGTCGATGATCGCGCACAATTGCAGCGAGGCGAGGATGTACCAACGGAGCAGAACGCAGTCGACGATTGATATACTAATTATTATAATTAATTACTTCGGTGAGGTGGTGGTGGGGGGTGTTGCTACGGGCGCGCGCTGACCTGGTCGAGTGTCGTCGCGTACGCTTCGGCGTAAAACCTCACCGATGGTGATGATAATAATTGTAAATAATTATACACGGCGACGTTCTTGAGTTTGGAGTGGAGAGAGGTGGGAAGAGATAGAGACGGAGAGAGCGAAGAGAGAGAGAGAGGGAGGGACGGAGCGGTTACGGCAGTCTGGGATAATTTACGAGCCGAGCGAAGCGGCAGGATATGAGGGGACGACAGCGGCGAGGAATGAAACAGAGCGAGCGATGAGTAGGGTTAGGAACGAGACACCGGGTAGAAATGAGAAAGGGGGGGGGGGGGGACCGAGACGGCGAGTGATGAGACGGGAGCGGGAAGGAATGAGGCGAAGGAAAAGCGCGATCGCGCGCGAGAGAGGGGAGACGGTTGATTATAGGAGAGAATGAAATGAGAGAGCGAGGGGGAATGAGGAATGACACCGAGGGAAAACAGAGAGAGAGAGAGAGAAATAGAGACACAGCGCGCGCGCGCGAGAGAGAGAGAGAGAGACGGAGAGATGAGAGAAGGAGGAGACGAGATAGATCGAGAGAGAGACACACACAGAGAATGAGAGTTGGAGGGAGCGAGCGAGCGAGCGAGATTCGAGAGAGAGAGGAGAAATAAATCGGGCCCGGCCCGGGCCGCGATGCCCTCGTGACGATCCCCGTCTGAGACCCGCGGAGCGCGCGCGCTGTCCCCAACCCCCCGCCCCCTCTCCCTCGCTCTCCGCGCAGCGATACAGCGCAGGTATGGCTTTGCGTGTGACGTCACGCGCACGCACGCGCACGCACGCACGCGCGCGCACGCACGCACACACACGCGCAACGGAATCGTCGCAGTGTTATTTTATATCGACGCACGCCGCGCGCGCGGCACGCGGTTTTATTTCGCGATTTTAATTTGCTCGTAATTTTTTGCTGGGGTATTTCTTTTCTCTACATGTAATAATAATAATATATAACGCTTGGGAAGCAACCGGCTCTATTTTTTCTGTGCCTTGTATTTATTTATTATTATTGTTGTCGTTTTGCGCGTGCGTTGTATCGGTTGACGAGTCTGCTGTTTGGTTTGAGAGGGTGGAGTTGGGAGGGAGGTGAGAGAGGGATGGATGGATGGATGCATGGAGGGAACAAGGGGAGAGGGAGGCAAGGGGGTAGGGGAGGGGAGGCGGGATGAGGGGGATGAGGGGGCAGGGGGATGAGGCGGTGGATGGAGAGCCGCTCCAGCCACTGCAGCCCGGCGTGACGTCAACACGCAAATCCGCAAGGGCTGCGAGGCTGCGTGCGAAGGATTTCTGCACGGACGCCCTTAATGATTTACGTCGTATTTTTCTCGACAGCGCGCAATACATTTTGTATAGCATACACTTAAATATATAAATATATGTAACAAAATGTATCATCGTAATCATACGAGTCATGCATGTATTATATCGCGGGAGGGGGGAGGGGGGGCGTCGGGTGGAAGGCCTGCTGTTTAATTGTATTTTGTTCCAAAAAAAAATGTTGTAAAAGAGATTCTGACATTTAAAACGCGCTGCGTGACAAAATGAAAAAAAAAAACGTGACAATTTAGGCGCCCAATGACGGAGATACGCGCGCACGTCCACGTGTGTGTTGTGTGTTTGGTTAATTGGCTAAGGCCGCTAATTGTGCTCGAGTCCTTTCACAAAAAGGTCGCCTAACGGACACCCCGCGTGTCCGCCTCTTTGTGAGACGAACTCGTGACAGAGGCCTCTCCTCTCTCTCGGTCGAGCCGCCGATGGCGGTTTGTGTGAGTTGACGCAATTCCAATGTCGCATTTACACGCGAGCCTCTTTGCGCGTGAGCCACGCGGAGAGAGAGGCTCCTCCCTGCGAGACGCGAGTCGGCCGCGTCTCGATGTGGACCTGTCGGTCTTCGCGCGAGTCCGTGGGGTTTTCTGTGCCAATCTGCACGATGCTGTGTGCGTTTCTATAGCGTATCTATGCGAGTCGTTAGGTCTCTGTGTGAGTCTCTACGGTGTCTGTGTGAGTCTCTATTGGTGCCTGTGTGGCGCGATAGATATCGGGTGTGGATTTATATTGCGTCTGTTTGCGAGTCCCTATGTGAGCCGTTGGGTCTCTGTGTGAGTCTCTGTGGATGTCTGTGTGAGTCTCTGTGGATGTCTGTGTGAGTCTCTGTGAGTGTCTGTGTGAGTCACTGTGGATGTCTGTGTGAGTCTCTGTGGATGGCTGTGAGTCTCTATGGATGTCTGTGTGAGTCTCTGTGGGTGTCTGTGTGAGTCTCTATGGGTGTCTGTGTGAGTCTCTATGGGTGTCTGTGTGAGTCTCTGTGGATGTCTGTGAGTCTCTATGGATATCTGTGTGAGTCTCTATGGATGTCTGTGTGAGTCTCTGTGGGTGTCTGTGTGAGTCTCTATGGGTGTCTGTGTGAGTCTCTGTGTGAGTCTCTATGGGTGTCTGTGTGAGGCTCTATGGGTCTCTGTGTGAGTCTCTGTGAGTGTCTGTATGAGTCTCTGTGGGTGTCTGTATGAGTCTCTGTGTGAGTCTCTATGGGTGTCTGTGTGAATCTCTGTGGGTGTCTGTGTGAGTCTCTGTGGGTGTCTGTGTGGGTCTCTATGGGTGTCTGTGTGAGTCTCTATGGATGTCTGTGTGAGTCTGTGGATGTCTGTGAGTCTCTATGGATGTCTGTGTGAGTCTCTGTGGGTGTCTGTGTGAGTCTCTATGGGTGTCTGTGTGAGTCTCTATGGGTGTCTGTGTGAGTCTCTGTGGATGTCTGTGAGTCTCTATGGATGTCTGTGTGAGTCTCTATGAATGTCTGTGTGAGTCTCTGTGGGTGTCTGTGTGAGTCTCTATGGGTGTCTGTGTGAGTCTCTGTGTGAGTCTCTATGGGTGTCTGTGTGAGTCTCTATGGGTCTCTGTGTGAGTCTCTGTGAGTGTCTGTGTGAGTCTCTGTGGATGTCTGTGAGTCTCTATGGATGTCTGTATGAGTCTCTGTGGGTGTCTGTATGAGTCTCTGTGGATGTCTGTGAGTCTCTGTGGGTGTCTGTGTGAGTCTCTGTGGATGTCTGTGAGTCTCTATGGATGTCTGTGTGAGTCTCTGTGGGTGTCTGTATGAGTCTCTGAGTGAGTCTCTATGGGTGTCTGTGTGAATCTCTGTGGGTGTCTGTGTGAGTCTCTGTGGGTGTCTGTGTGGGTCTCTATGGGTATCTGTGTGAGTCTCTGTGGGTGTCTGTGTGAGTCTCTATGGGTCTCTGTATGAGTCTCTGTGGATGGCTGTGAGTCTCTATGGATGTCTGTGTGAGTCTCTGTGGGTGTCTGTGTGGGTCTCTATGGGTGTCTGTGTGAGTCTCTGTGGGTGACTGTGTGAGTCTCTGTGGGTGTCTGTGTGAGTCTCTGTGGGTGTCTGTGTGAGTCTCTGTGGGTGTCTGTGTGAGTCTCTGTGGGTGTCTGTGTGAGTCTCTATGGGTGTCTGTGTGAGTCTCTGTGTGAGTCTCTATGGGTGTCTGTGTGAGTCTCTATGGGTGTCTGTGCGAGTCTCTATGGGTGTCTGTGTGAGTCTCTGTGGGTGTCTGTGTGAGTCTCTATGGGTGTCTGTGTCAGTCTCTGTGGGTGTCTGTATGAGTCTCTGTGGGTGTCTGTGTGAGTCTCTGTGGGTGTCTGTGTGAGTCTCTATGGGTGTCTGTGTGAGTCTCTGTGGGTGTCTGTGTGAGTCTCTGTGGGTGTCTGTGTGAGTCTCTGTGGATGTCTGTGTGAGTCTCTGTGGGTGTCTGTGTGAGTCTCTGTGGATGTCTGTGAGTCTCTATGGGTGTCTGTGTCAGTCTCTGTGGGTGTCTGTATGAGTCTCTGTGGGTGTCTGTGTCAGTCTCTGTGGGTGTTTGTGTGAGTCTCTGTGGGTGTCTGTGTGAGTCTCTATGGGTCTCTGTGCGAGTCTCTGTGGGTGTCTGTGTGAGTCTCTATGGGTCTCTGTGCGATTCTCTGTGGATGTCTGTGTGAGTCTCCATGGGTGTCTGTGTGAGTCTCTGTGGGTGTCTGTATGAGTCTCTGTGGATGTCTGTGTGAGTCTCTATGGGTGTCTGTGTGAGTCTCTATGGGTGTCTGTTAGTGTCTATGGGTGTCTGTGTGAGTCTCTATGGATGTCTGTTAGTCTCTGTGGGTGTCTGTTAGTCTCTATGGGTGTCTGTGTGAGTCTCTATGGATGTCTGTGTGAGTCTCTATGGGTGTCTGTGTGAGTCTCTGTGGGTGTCTGTGTGAGTCTCTGTGGGTGTCTGTGTGAGTCTCTGCACAGATACATCGTGGATATCCAACACCGTTCGAATGGGGACGGAACCTCACAATGCTGCGCGGAAATCGGGCATATTTATTTAACCAGCAGAGCTACGGTCCCCGTGCGAGTCTACGGCTCTCTCGTAGACTCGCACGAGGCTATGCAACGCAATGCAATTTTGAGCAATATAACCGTCTGATCGCCAACTTACCTGCAAGACGCCGTTGCAAAAACTACAAAAAAAGCGGAAATATAATTATCTTACGGAGAGCAAGAGAGATAACGCCGGGTGAAGGTTATTAGCCTGGACATGAACAACGGTGTGGAGGGAGGGAGGGAGGGGTGCCGGTCGTGGACATCACGGTGCGCTGGCTAGAAGGAAGGTCGCCGAGCGGCTATTGGGTGTCTGTGTTT